AAGCAGACACTCTCTCTCTCCTCCTCCCTGGGTGGTGTAAACAGCTAAGTGCTCAGCTGCTAATGTGGCCTGCTCACAACAGCCTCCTGGGTTCAAACGTTTAAACGTCTTCTCAATGCTCTTCTGCGATGACCAAGCCTATCCCTATGGCCTGCAAGTGCTACATACGCTGACCCGTGTCAACTTCTAAATACTTCCTCCCACCTCATGGTGTGTGAGAAACACATAGCACCAGCCTGCAATGCCCCTCCCACTCCCCACCCCTGGCTTTTGCCTCCTCTATGCCTAGATCTTGGTCCCAATGACCCTTCCTCCAAGATCCATAGATCAGACGAGGCTTCTCACCTTTCTTTTTGTGTACTTGGCACAGATTTTGTTTGTGGTGACTATACTAATGTCTCTCTCCTCCCTCTCCGGCCCCACACGGGCTCCCCTGTCTGTTTCAAGTCACTGTTGTGTCCTCTGTGATGGTCCCCATGCCTGGCACAGCATAAATGCTCAGTTCACAGGTAGGCAACAGGCTGATGCATCTGCAAAGCATCGAGGCCAGTAGGAGACTCTCGAGGGCCCTTCCAGCCTTTCCCAGCATTGTCTGTGGGGATGTAAATAGCGTCAGTGTCCAGTGCGTTGTCCCCCCCGGGCCTTATTAATAGTGACAACACTTAACAGTCTTTCCTTAGATGTGGCTGACAAAGGATAAAGCCACAAACCCATCAGTCAGGACAATCGAGAGATAACGGTGATCAATTCCTAAAGGAAACTCAGCCACTTACTCATATTGTTGAGATTAAAACAAAACTTCAGCCTCAGCAAGGCTCTGATTTTTTATGTCACCTTACATTCATGGAAATTCCTTGTGTTGCTGACTCCAGGGAGTGAGGAGGTGAGTCAGCAAATTTCTCTTTGTTTTCCAGCTGGTTCAATGAAAACACAGCCCAAAGGGCTGGGTCTGTCTCCACATCACGAAAGACAATCTAAGGCCGTGGGCCTGGCGGGGCTACATCAGGAGCGAACAGTTGGTCAGGGTCGGGCCACTCATCCTAACCTTGACGGTAACGTGGCTGGCAGCTTAGCCGGTGCTCCAAGGCAAGGCTGCTCCAGAGGCCGCTGCCAGGTTCAGAGACAAGTTGTGACCTTCCTGACTGTAAAAGCACCTTGTATCTGACACTTCCGGAGGTGTGGGAGTGTCAAGTACCCCATCCTCCAGTCCCTTTGTCAACTGCAGAGAGATTCAGAGAGCCGGGTGATGACCAACACAAAGTATCAAGTTGATTTCTTCCAAAAGGGGCTTTGAGTATCTTCTGTAGGAGCCCTGGTGGCACAGTGGTTTAAGTGCTTAGCTGCTAACCAAAAGGTGGGCAATTTAAACCCACCAGCTGCTCTGCAGGAGAAAGATACAGCCTTGGAAACCCTCTGGGGCAGCAGTTCTACTCTGTCCTACCAGGTCACTAGAAGAAAGAATCAACTCGAGCAAGACATTTGTTTTGGGATCTTCTGTAGGAAGATGCAGCTTTCCCACTGTCTCCTCCTGCTCCTTGCCAGGTGAAGCCTTGGGACCCGCCTAGGGGACGCCGGGTCTGCAGGACAGATAGTAGAGTACCGCATGGAGAGTGGGGCCAGTGTCACTGCCGTTGACTGTGGACAGACACCAAGACCAGCCTCCTTGTCTTTCCCATGCAGGGGCTCTACCCTACGCCTGTCCCTAAAAGTCACCTCTGTGGAGAGGAATGATGGAAGGGGCAGGGAAATGAAGCTGAGACCTGTCCTTCGAAACGGTAACCTCACGGAGAAATGAGCACAAAGAAAAATGCCCCCCCACCATCAATCACCAAACATCACAAAGCACCAAGTTGCCGACCTGGAGACAGCTTCTCGTTAGCCCTGGCACCCTCCCTCTGGGCTGCCTTCTAAGAGGCCTGGATCTGGAGCCTCCACTGTCTCAATCCAGCAGCCTCTGCACGGACAGCTCAGTGACACCGACCACAAGCGGAGGGACCCTTCGGGAAAGGATAGTGGTGATGGCCGCTCTGGGTCTTCTCATTCCTTCACATTCACAACCGGTGTGCTTTGTGGGTATGTCTTTTAAAATGCACAGCTGGACTTTATCCTGAACTCTAAGCAGTGACTGTTTTTATGTTAACGAGCAGACTCAATCTATCCCCGTGTAACGAACGTGACAGACGCTGACTCAGTTTACCTATTTGTCTCAGGTGGTTCTCTGCTGCTGCTTTGATTCTGTGCCCTCGAATGGCGTGATGGTTTGCATTCACCCTCAGTGTATCTGCAACTGTACATTCTGTTCATTCTCACAACGGTTATACTTAAGTGTGCATGGGGCATTCATGACTCATCAAAATCCTAAGGTATTCAACATCTCTGTTATTCTCTCATACAATGTAATTGTCCTAAAATTAGTAAATCTATTCACCCATCATGCTCTTGGCCACCCAGATTTAGTCATTACTGGTGGTTCAAACCCACCAGCCAGTCCTCAGAAGGAAGACTGGGGAATCTACTTCTGTAGATACCGCTTCAGAAACTCGAGGAAGGGTCGCTACGAGTTGGGACTGACTCAACAGCAGTGAGGTTCCTCCCCACCCAGGCTACCATCAGTAGTTGAACCAGCTTATCTAGACTGCAATACAATCCTCTTGCTCACCACTGCCTCTTCAGTCCCACCTTCTCTCGTGTTCAAACTCCTCACACCAAGACGTTCTCTGGTGGGACCTCTGGGCAGTACATTCCTTTGTCACAGATTTGAAGTGAAAATGTCTAACTCACTCACTCACTGCCATCGAGTCGACTCTGACTCCTAGTGATCCCTTCTTGGGTTTCTGAGGCGGTTATCACCATGGGAGTAGATTGCCCAGTCTTCCTTCTGAAATGTCTATTTCGTATCAAATAATTTGAGTATGGAATTGCGTTTTCCTCCACTCCGGGAAGTTTTTCTTCCCTAGCTGCTAATGAGAAGGCTGCTGTCGGTGTAACTGTCCTTCTGTGCAATCTCCCGATTCTCCCAGCGGTCTGAGGGTCTTACCTTTGCTGCTCTCCAGTTGCACTCTAAGTCATTCCAGAGTGGGTTCATTTGCACTCCTCCTGCCTAAGACTTGGTGGTTTTCCTTCAAGACTTATGTCTTTCTTAAATTCGGAAGAATTCTCCTCACACTGGGTTTAAATAGTGCCCCTTCTTTATTTTTATCTGTGTTTTCATTCTGGAGTTTTTATGCGACCCACTTTGGACAGTCTTACTCATTCTCTTGAAAACATTTCCATTTTTCTCGATTTCCTGGCCACCTTGCACCCCTAGAGGTGCTAATTCTCTTGTCCACCCATGCTCCCTTATAGTAGCATTTTCCACTGGGTGCTCATTTTTAGTTTGGACTCATCTACAATACTTATTATATTATTGATAGAGGCAACTCATGTAATCTAACCAAAAACTCAAACTCACTGCTGTGGAGTCAGATCCGACTCATGGTGATGCCTCCTTGGGTTTCTGAGGTGGTATCACTACAGAAGTAGATTGCCTAACCTTCCTTCTGATGGGTTTGAACCGCCCACCTTCTTGTTAGCAGTCAAATGCCTTAGGCACTATACCAGCAGAGCTCCCTCATATAATCTAGGTTCTAGAAATACCCTTCTATGTGGGGTTGGCTTCCGCCTGGGGGTTCCACTGGTTTGGTCCTCATTTTGAGGTCAGGATCTTCCATTCCTGAGCTGCTGCTGAAAAAGTGGCCCCTGGCTCACCCCCATTCCCAACGTACACACGAGGCAAGCCAGAATTTCCATTCCTCCATTTTATGAAATCTCTTTCAGGCCAGGACATCCGGTACACAACTCTGATTCTTGCTCATTCTCTGGGCCTGTGGGGAGACTTTTTCTTGTCCCCTTTCACAGAGGAAGTGGCTCTGCCGGGGGTCTGGCTTTTTGAGATTCTTGTTTGCAGGTGCCCACTTCTCTTCCCCCCCCCCCCGCCCCCATAGGCATACCAGACCCATTCTCTGGGTGCTGAATCAGCTTTCAGGGCCCTATGTCCCTATCTCACAAGCCCACTGCTCTGGGCTTACACTTCCTCCCTATTCCTGCCTCTTGGAGACTTATCTGACTCTCTCAAGCTTCAGCAGCCATGAACAAACATCATCACATTCTTGTGTTATTCTTATACTTTATCTAAGATTTCTCTCTCCTCCTGGGCTGAGGAAGCTGCATCAGCTCCCTTCACTAAGTTGCCGGAAGGTGAAGGTCTCAGTCTGTAAGAGCCAAGTGATGAACACGTGATCAAGAAAATAAGTAGGGGCTTAAAGCAGAGAGGGCAGAAAGCACCTCAGACGGTGATCACCATTTGACGAAGTGTCAACTGTAAATCTCACACCTTCCTCTGAACTTCCTGTTTAAAACTTGAAAACACATGACCTTCCCAGTCCCTGGGGATGGGGATTCTGTCTTATTCCCCTTGAACCCCCACTCAAACATGAGGCCCAGCACAGAGGGGATGGAGTACAAGCTCGCTAAATGAACAAACAGAACTAGAATTTTGTCCCAGTTGCATATAAAACTTCAAATATGAGAACAGCTGATTAAACAGCAATACATGTCACATCACAGTGACATCTGTGAAATGGGATCACCGACTTTGTGGAGCCCGTTAATAGAAAGGGTCAACAGCCCTCTGAATTTCTTTAACTTAGCAAAGTGCAGGCCAGATGTGCCTGTTGTCCAACCCATTGCTTAGGCTGGCTTTATCTTTCTGAAAGAAAAGGAGCTGCCCAGTTGAGCCTGGGACTCCTTGAAGGTCATCTCCAGGTCAGCCCCGCACCAGCCTCCAGGCCGAGTTTCCCCGGAGTTACGCTGTCACGCCTGAACGTGACATGACTCCTGAGCTCCTCTCGGGGCCCAAGTCAAGCACCTGGGCCGGTGGCTTTGCTCTGGATGAGACAGCTACAGAGCGTACACAAGGACTCGGTGGTGCAGTGCCCCGGGCTCCGCGCAGCAGGAATTACCGTGTCATTTCTAGTGAGGGTGACGTCGGTGCCGTCCTGCAGGTAATGGGTCTCCGTGAAGCCGCCGGCGATGAGACCTCTGTAGAAAAGCAGAACAACATGCGGTGAGAGAGCATCACACTGACACGCTGCCTGTGAGCGTGGAGACCAGGGCAGCAGCAGGCCTGCTCTTACCACCCCGGACTCACGGAAAACACCACGAGGCTACACAGAGCTTTCAAGCTGTTGAGGCCAGGCAGGGAGAATCGGGGGAGACCCAGGCCAGCAAGATCCACACGTGTGTGCTGTGAACAATACCCCACACGGTACCTGTGGAGCCCTCCCCGTCACTGCCTTCCACCTCATTTCTCCAACACACACACACGTGCACAGACACACACACGTGCACAGACACACGCCTGTCTGGAACTCATACTGGCACATTTCCGACTTGGGGAACGCTGCATGCCTAGAAAGGCCCGTCTCGGCAGAGCAGCACCGACGGCTGAGCACCTGCTGGGAAAATCACCCGGGACCCATTGCACTGCCCTGCTGCTTCGCCTGCAGGAAGAGAATCCGCTGTCAGTGCTAAACACTCAAGAAGAGACGAGAATGGCGGTGCTGTGCTAAAAGTGGGGCTGCACGAGTGGAAGACGTCATGGGACCCACTGGACGTCAAACTCCTAAGGCAAACCGAACGGGGAGAAAACCCCGCTCATTCTAATGGAACCCGCATGCAACCTGCCGGATCCTCATTCCCGCTGGGAGAGCGTGAGTTTGTTTAGGGTTTCTGTTATTTTGTAACGTCTCACATAACTTGCGCTGTGTGATCCTGCTCAGCATGAGCACAAGGAGTGTGCTTCCTGTGCGCCTACTATGTACCAGGCACTGGCCCCAGCTGCTGGTGTGCAAGGACACACTGCCCACCCCACTCTCCAGGGGACTGCAGTCTGGTGGGGTGACAGGTACAAGATAACCCACTGCAGGGGTGTGGCACAGGGCAGGATGGACGGGTACACAGAGGGTGGGGCGCTGTGGAAGGGGAAGCTTTACCGCCAGAGTTAACAAGGCTGGGCCCTAAGGGGTGGAGTAGGAGCTGCCAGGAAGACGGGGAGTGAGAGGCGGTGGGAGGGAAAAGGCATTCCGGCCAATGGCTGTCACCAGAAGAGCCCTTCGGCAGAAGACAGTGAAAGGCTCTAACTGGAGCCTGGGTGTACCTGTCAGGGCAGCAGCAAGTCATGACTTGTTCTAAATCCTGAATTCGACTGGGGGTGCAGCGAGCAGGGATGGTGCTGTCTGGCCTCGCCACTGGGGGTGCGGCGGGCAGGGACGGCCCTGTCCCTCCCCACTGTCACTGATCAGGTAGCACATCCATTGAGTCTACTGGGACGCACGGTGAGTTATTCACATGGAGAGTTAGCGGGAAGTGGAAGCACTCAGTCTAGAGGGCACATGTGCTTCCTGAGAAACTAACCACCCCCCTTCTCTACCCCATGTACACACACTACTTTAATATCCTTTTTTGGGGCACGTTTAGGGGTACTGCGAAAGAAGTACACAGCAAGGCCAGACTTCCCATATCCCCTGCACACCGTCTTCCTCCTATTAACGGCTTGCACGCCTGTGGAGCATTCGTTACCACTGAGGAACCAGCACTATGTGCTTCACCCCACCAGTTCTGTGGCGCACCCTTTAAGCCGGGCCACAGGACACACGTGGCCAGGCAAAGCCAGCCTCAAACCTCCCACCGCGTGCTCGCAGCTGGAACTTCCAGGGAAGAGGGCTCTCCCCTTGGACCTCAAGGCCCTAAGGTGCAACTACAGGGCTTCATGGTGGAAAGGACCGTGACTAAGGGCAGAGATCCCTGAAGCCTATAATGGGCGACTCCCCTCCCATCCAAGAAATCCCCCCTCCTGTGCTTCAGGGGGTTGGAGCTGGGATTTGCATCCTGAGTCAGGGGGTGGGAGTGGGACAGAAGTGAGAATGTCACACGCCTAATGGCATGGGAAATGCTCTCTTCACAGCCCCAGGCCCCTCAGACCTGTCCCGGCCAAGTCCAGGATGGAGGGTAATCCTTGTTTCATACCGATTTCAATGGATGGGAGCTCTGGTAGCATAGTGCCTAAGCATTTGACTGCTAACCAGAAGGCTCGTGGTTCAAACCCACCAGCCACTCCTCGGAAAGAAGATGGGGCAATCTACTTCCGTAGTGATACCTCTTCGGAAACCCAAGGAGTCGCTGCTATGAGTCGGGTCCGACTTGATGGCACACAACAACAACAACAACATCACATGCCTGGTTTCAGTCAGCCAGACTCTTACGGAGCATCCAAGTTGCCGTGGACCAAACAGCGAGTTCTTCAGCAGCGTGCCAAAAGACATAAGACAGCGACAGGCACCCACTCACTGATGAAGCACGCAGGTTCTCTCAACCTCGTGCTTTCCACGCCGTGCTGGTGCCTACACACCACACAAACCACGGCTCCTGCGCCCTGCAGGCATCCCTGTCCCCCTGCCCCAGCTTCCTCCTTGCCCCAAGCAGGATGCCTTCCAGGGGGTGGCAGCCCTGACAGGTGGTCAGCAGCAGGGAAGAGGGAGCTGTGAAAGGGGAGCAGGCAGGGCAGGGGGAGGGAGGGACAGCAGTGAGAACAGACAGCAGCAGCCCATTCAGTGCCAGAGGGTTCCAGGAAGGCCCAGGAAGCACGACGACCTGCTGGGGGCTGGGGGGACAGCGGCAGAAAGGAGCGTGGCCCAGGAGAGGGGTGGGAAGACAAACCCATCCATTCAGTAAAGCAGCATCGTGGGAAGCGGAGGGGCTGGATGTACAGTGAAGAGGGGGCTGTTCTGGATGGAAGGGACTTGTGGGTGTGGTCATCGGCAAGCAAGAGAATGCTTCCCATGTGGAGCAAAGGAGGATGAAGAAAATCTAAGACACAGGAGACAATGAGTGCAAAGGATGGAAGGGGCACAAGAGGCCCAGCCTCCACAGCCCTGAGACGAAGAACTAGACGGTGCCCCGCCACCACCGCTGACCGCTCTGAAAGGCATTGTGTAAGGTCCTGGACAGAGGGGGAGGAAAATGTGGAACAAAACTCAGAATCATGAAAAAAAACCAGGCTTACCGGTCTGATGAAGACTGATGGAACCAGTGACACATGGCCTCAGATACCTTTCAGCTAAAAACTGAACTTAACCCCTGCGACTCAACTGTCAGCCAAAGGATACTCAGGCCTGTAAGGTGAACAGTAGTATCAGGAGGGTCTGCAGTCGTTAGAACAATCAAGCCTATGAGACCAAGGGACAGCATTCGCCCAGGGACAGAGCTGGGAAGGCAGAGGGGACGAGAAGGAAGGACAAGGGAAGGGGTGAGCGCAGGGAGGAAGTGTTAGTGTGGGGACTGCGGTGAATGTCACACAAAATGTGTGTGGACTGTTGAAGAGAAAACCAACTTGCTCAGGAAACCTTCACCCAAATCACAATGAAAAAAAGAGAGAGAAAGAAAACAAGGCAGAGAGGGGACAGTGGGGCAAAGCTGCACAAGGAAGGACCGCAGACCCCGGGGGTCAGCAAGGGAGGAACTGGGAGTGGCCATTACTCCTGATGAAGGAGGAGCTGGGCCTGTTTCAAGGTTGAGGGAAAGGTCAAACATTTGGAAAACCACTACCCAATTTAATAATCACTTAAAATAGACCCATTTCTCAGTCTTGCTATAATTTAACACTGCAGTTTTATTAAGAATGATATTTATTTCATATTTTATTAATAATGTAGTGATTCAGTTCTTTGTAACAATGCTGGAACCTTAGTATTTAAGGCAAAGGAGAGTGACACATGGAGGAATTTGTGGAACAAAGAGACATACACAAAGGCTCCTGACCAGACCTAAGTGCAAGCTAAATTAGATGGCTGTCAAGGAGAGGGGACACTTATTTCACGTCTGAAAGATGTGGACAATCCATCAGGGAGGCTGACGACTAGAGATTAATTTTTGGTAGAAGCCCATCAGCACACTCGTTGACAGAGTAATTTGGTGGTTTAACAGCAGTACAATTAATTATAAGGCTATAAAACGTGATTCAGTGCAGTAAGACAAAGACCAACGGGTATGTTTGCCTTAAAAAAAGGTCTCACTGCTTCTCAGTGTTATCCAAACATCACGTACGTGAAACAAAAAGATGACCCTGTCGTACTCGGGGCTCCAGAGAGTTCTTAAACACTACTGTATGTCTTGTCTCATTGAAAGAGGGTGAAACAGGGGCTCCTGTATGTGCCCATCCCAACCAAGGCACGGACAACTTGCTCCTTGTTGAGTTTTTCTCAGGAAGTCTGGAGGAAAAAGATTTGCTGATTCAAAATTCAGAGGTGGTATTCCCACCTGTACAGATTACAGCTTTTCAAAAACATTTCACAG